TGGGGTGAAATTACTTTCAAGGTAAATTGTATTTGAATATGTTTTAAACAAAGAAACCAAATTGATGATTTGCTTTTCTTTCAGGATCATCTCAAAAATGACTATAGAAGAAGATTTTGCCGACCTTCCAGGTGATTTATATACTTAAGCTTTTAAGATGATTTTTTTATTCCTATCTTTATGAAGTAGATTTTTAAATGAACAAAGGAAAAACCATCACCTATGACTGAAACAATGATTTCTATGTCCAGTGATTAAGTGTAGTCATCTTATACTAACAGAGAAATATTAATGCAAGTAGTGCAATATTAATGCAAGTAGGCAGTGAGAAAAGAAATTCACCTGGTAAAATGGTAGGACCAGGAAGAGGCAGTCTCAGTTCTAAGTGAAAGCCATGGGAAAAGCACTTTGTAGAGTGGATTGAATGGTAAAACTAGAAAGACGTAGCTTATTCAGTGGGGCAAAAAGAAAAACAATGCATGTTGTCATGAATTTATTGGGTGCTCATTTGGGTTGCTTTGGTCCTTTTAGTTGTGAAACCTGTAAAGTTAAATTTTCTAGTTACATATTGAGTAGTAATAGGATGAAAAACGTGCTTTTTAAAGTGAAGGTGTTATTATCAATAACATCTTGTTTATTGAGCTTTGATTTTACTAGTCCCAGTAGGGCATAGAAATATGTTCTTTTGCCCACAGGAAGCTTTCATTCCTGTTGGGAAGATGAATATGTACATTCGTGAAATAATTTAATGAACAAAAATAATACTCGTAATAATATAATAATGAAGTTATAATTTGTGTGTCATAAAGAGCAGGCCTGTGTGCAATTAAGCATTAACTTGTAGTATAGGCAGTCATGTAAGAAGTTAGGGAGGGATTTGTGTGTTATTGATATTCAGGGAAAGCTTTAAAGTTGTGGTATAACTTAGGTGGACGTTCAATAAAGATTTAAAGACTAAGGTAAAGTACATTCTAGACCTAGGAAGTATCATAAACAAAGGAACCAGAATAGGGATACATATATTGTGGTTTGTCAGCAGCCAGCAGACCTGATTTAAGATGGTGATTATGTTGAGTAAAGTAGAAAACAAGACCATATGAATTGGGTAGAGCCAGAAAATGGATATCTTAGTCTTTAGGCATCTATTATAGGCTTGAATAAACTGTCGTAAATCCTCTTTGGAATCAGGCCTACCAAATGTGAACAAACACATACACCACATTTTATAAAAGCAAAGAAGAGTAGTGTGATGTTTGTAGCATAGCTTAATGTAGGGGTTGCAATAATCTAGGCATAGTTGGGGTGCTCTTATGCTAAGGTAGGAATGAGAAGGAGGAAGAAAAGGTAAATTGGAGAAAACATTGAAAAAATGTTGAAAAAGCTGTAGGACTTGGTGACTGTAAGTGATTTTTTTCCTCAAATGATTGAGTTAAAAAAAAAAAAAGTGATTTCTTTCACCAAATGGTTGAATAAAGTCTGTTCTATAAAGTAGAATCATTTGGTAACTGCCAGAAGATTACATCCACACTAT